CCGTACAGTTTGACCCTTATTCCGGGTATGTTAATGATGAAAGCAGCGCTGACGAACTCATAAAACAGTACGAGATAGCTACGACGACACGCTTCACTGTATTTAAACAAACAGGAGGATTTTCAAATTGCAGTAGGCTGGGTAAGTAAGCTCACATGTAAAGATTTACAAAATAAACCATACTGACAGTAAAGTAAAGCGAAGTATAACTTTATTTAGACACTATAGGTATTTAAAGCCAGGGGCGTATGAGATCGTGTTATTAACATGAAATATAGATAAATCAAAATAAAAAAAGGGATTTAACTTTTTTCCAATAATTATTGATATCTTAAGAATACATGTACACATCATTATTCTTCGCTTTACACTGGTCAGTTAGACTTTCAAAATTAACATGTAATTAAAATTCAACTTAGCTTCAAGTGTCAATTTACTGTGAGCCTACAGCAAGAGTTGGCAAGAAATGCTTAATTAATTAAGATCAAGCTTAAAGTGTCAAAACCCTACTCAGTGCTATTGACACACAGCTGCCAGCATCCCCATCCATTACACCAGTCCTTGGGCTACATCTGGGTGGGGCAGGCTTGATTTTCAGGCCCTCCATTTTAAGCACCCATGTGTACATATGTACGTATGTGTTTGTGTACATGTATCATATTGCTAACTTAGCTTGGTTCCTCTTCTCACATAGAAGAGAATGCAGATAAAAATGCTAAGAACCACCGTATACAATGGGCTGACTCACAGGAGATGACAGGATGCAGACTAAATTTTGATGGCATCCCATTCCAAATTGGGGGGGTCAAAGTTTTAGAATGCCAAAATGGGCCAGACAGAAATAAGGCACTCGAAAGGAAGGAGGCTCAAAAGAGACTACAAAAAGATGTAAGCATGCGTAATAATTAACTAAATAAGAATGTAAACAAGATGATATTATTACTTAAGGACTCCTAAAGAGGATATCATATATAGGGCATTACATAGTTATTGATTTACCTTCACCTATTTGCTCTTAAGCTAACAAGGTGGTAAGTCCCAACTGATTTTTCTAAGCAAGTTGGTGAGCACTCACCTCTCCCTCAGGGCTAATAGCAGGCAATAATGTTTTCTTTTTTACCACTTGCAAGTAAAAGGACATATCACATTTTATTTGTTAAAATAAGCAAAGTCGCAAAAAAGGACCACTGTGACTGCAGTTTACAAGGTAGGAATCAAGTACTATTTTAAAGGATACTTTTCATTACTTCTAAGTTTATTGATAACTTGACTATTCCCATATGACTGCTCTATCTAACAATCCAATAAATCTATTTGGTTTCAGAAGGAGAATGCTGATCACTGCTATAACAACACCAAACAGCACTTTATAGTACAGGATACGAAGAAATGTGACTGTCCAGCAAAGATCCACCTAAGGAAAATAACCAAGTATCCTGAAAATAAGGTCAGTTTATTTTAATTATTGAATGAGGGTTCAGGGGGCACTACCATTAACATGAATGATCACTAGCCTAATAAAGGGTGCTTAATCCTAATGGGCCTTGTGTTACATGTAGGTGAAGTGGACATATGATAAGACAACCTGGACATTTCGTTGTGCAGAATTGAAACAAATTTACCTGTAATGGAAACATTACAACAAACAGAGTGAATATTTTAGAAAGAAATTTTTCAAATATTATTTTAATTAAAACATTGTATCGTTAGATTTCAGAGAACACAAAGAGTAGAAGGGAGACAATGTCAAAATTTCTGAGAACATCCCTAGAGTCAGAAAAGAAGCAAACAATAGCTACAGAGGAGCGTATTTACATATTTCTTCCTAAACCTACGGATCACTTATTTCACCCCATGGGGAGGGTAAGTACTTGGCCATCAATTAAATTTTTTTTGGAATCAGGAAACAGAAGTTTGGTGGGGAATTTAAGGTGACTTAACTTCACACAGATCATCAGTCTACTGTAGACTGTACTGATTCCACTGTCATGTCGAATATATATAAAGAATGAATAAAGATTATACATCACAACAAAAGACCAATAAAATGTACTACATGTAGAGCTTCTTTTAGCTACACTGGCACTCATTCCTCAAACTCAATGTCAAGACTATAATATCACAATTTTATCGGAGAGGGATTCCCACTGGCACTGTTTTAATGGAATGCTGTCATGGACTTTTTAAATGGATTTTCTTAAAAAGTACAGTGTTCAGTACTCTGTAATTATAACATTCTGTAACTATTACTGAAAAGCCCTACTAGAGGACTGCCGATAGTAATGTTGGTATAACTTGCATTATTCCTCATTCAAAATATTTCCCCGTTTCTGAAAGGTTAAAACCACTCACATATTTCATCATAACCAGCTGCTGTTGACCAAATTTGGAAAAAATTTTCTCATATTGAACCAATGACATCAAAAGCAGCCGGCTCCAGGTTATTGAACCGTTGACCAAGAAAACCTGGGGATGAGGTTGTGTAATTTTTTAAATGAATAAATAATAAAGCAATTATTCTTTCTTTCTTGTTGTGTAATCAGACTGCTGGGCTACTTCAGCCTATTGATGAGACACTGGTTAAAAAAATTCATGAGCTTGTTGGAAGTGGTGTTAATTGTGTTTCTGAAATGCAACGGCACCTGCATCATTATGTAAAGAAGGAACTTTTCACAGGCCAACAGCCTCCAGATCTAACCAGCAGACAGTTCTTCCCAACAACCATGGATGTCAGGAACCACATGTATCATGCCACAGTGGTGTGCAGACATTCACAAATTGATCAAGAAAACCTTGACTTAAAAATCAAGAAGTGGAAAGAAGAAAGCCCAGATAAAAATTTCTTTTTCAGGCCTTACTGCCTTACAAGTGATAGTGAGTCCTATCAACAACCACAGTCACTGAAGGAAGAAGACAGCACTGATGTAATTAAAATAAATATAGGTGATCCATTTTAAACAAGACATCATAGCTGTGTGATTCTGAGATACATGCTGGTCAGATCCTCCTAAAACAAAAATTCCCTCTTGTAGATGGTCTAAGGGACCCTGTTATTGTGGTTGCATTAGTCACTCCAGCCATTAGTGAGTTTGTACAGATCATAAACACTGGCTCACACTGGGTTTGCCTGAGCACAATAGCTACTAGTCCTGGAACTGTCAAGGTGTATGACAGCTTATATCAAAATGTAAGCGTGGTTGCCATTGATCATTCATGTCGCATGCTATTGTATACTGGTTCTACAGTCAATTTTTGTAATGAAAGAGTGCAAAAGCAAACAAATTCAAATGACTGTGGCTTGTTAGCACTGGCATTTGCTACAGATTTATGCCATGGCCTAGACCCCACAGCGTAGTCATATGACCAAGACAAAATGCGCAAACACTACATCAACTGCCTGGACTTGCATGATATGGTTCCTTTCCCAAGAACGTCAAGACGGGTACCATATCATGCAATCACCAAAAGAAAAGCAGTGACAATCTAAAAGTCTATATGTGGCTATGGTCTGAATGATTTGTAATTCAAAATTATGAATGAATTCAAAATTATGAAAACTATGAATTTCTCCGTCAGTTTTCTGCCTAACTCAGTTTTCTGCGTAACTTATTTTTCCTTGCTCTTGAGTTTGTGGTGCTTTAATATCATAATGAAAATTGCCTGTAAGAATTTCATGAATGATACTTATAGACCCACATTAAATCCATAGGTAATATTCTACAAGTTCAAATTGAAATACTTAACATTTAGGAGGAAGCTCAAGCTGAATATTCGAATGTTGACTGTCGGTGTATTATCACACAATCACCTTAAAATTGTGAAATATGTACATCAATTTATTTAATACAAGTTTGAAGGCTTATCATGTGATAAACTTCTGATTAAGTACCTCTTCAGAAATTTCTGTACATATAAGTTTAACACAAATGCAATTAAAATTAATACTTATCTTTCTCGAGTATTTTGATGTCATTGTTCTTCTGCTCACTTGGCAGCTATGAGGCTTAGGTCGATGGTGTGTTGGATTTCCAAGAGGGTGTTGCCAATCAATCAGATCGACCGAAACCAGGTTGACAACTTACAAACCGGCCAAACATTTCATTAACAGCGCCATCGATCAAAGTATCATTACAGTCCAACAAAGGACCTGTTTTTCTGTTCAAATCTGGCAGAAACTGGCTCAGACGCACTATGCGAACTTCCTAACACTCGAGTACACTGTGAGTACGCGTCAACAAGAAAAAGCGGAAGTCACATTGTAAACTGCAGATACTCATACAAGATGCCACTGATATGTCATGGGCTCATCTGGTTTAGGACAATGATATATAGTGCTTTCCTTTAAAATGACCTCCTCTCCAAAAAAGGTTAAAATCTTGCTGTTGCCGCAAAAAAAGAACAAACATGCAACCGAAGCTATTATGAAAATTGAATATTTCAAACCTAATGAATGGTTTGCTCCTCCCTATGCCTCTTACATCAGGGGGGCTTGTGACCCTGTATGTTTTATAAGCCGTGCCCAATATCCAGATCCAAAATTATTTTAAGTAATCCTCATCTATTAGTCATTACCAGGTCAAGAATAAAAGTAAATGGCCATTTCAGTTTTTGCTATAAATTTTCCATCTACACATGCCATGACTCAGTTTGTATTTTTCTTAAGAGAGACTGTCACTTAAGAAAGAAGGATCATCATAGAGATCACTAGTGTAACTATATACCAGCTCTAACAACCATAGAAGAGTGGCACACCCAACCTCATTCCCAGGGTCTCTCATCTTCCCGCCCCCTGGAGCAAGCGAGGAGAGACCCTGGTAAATCTTTAATTTTTTAACCTTCTACCTTCACTCCTCTTCGAGAAGTTGAAAAGTCAACGACTTGTACCTTCCTCGTCATTTCGTCCAGTTGTTATTGTTGTTTCACCCTTCAACACCCTTATTTAAGATCAAATAAGAAGGAGCAGCGAAGAAAGTTTCAAGGCAACGTGCTTGAATGTGAAAATGAAAAGTGATTCCCATGATTTGGGGTTGGATGCTAGTGACACAAACTATACTCTTCTAAGAGAAGTGAAGTACGAGATGGTTTTCACGCATCCCGAAGCGTTTGTGCCTTGCAAAGATGGAATGGAGCTGTTCCAAAGCCCACTGTATCAGCGCGCTGTTATAGCAGTAAACATCGATGAAGCTCCTCCTCGGTCCAAAGTGAGGGTTATCTTTGCTACTGTTGCCATGGGGATGGGAGTCAATATTCCATCAATACGGCATGTCATCCATGTGGGACCACCTCGCACAATAATGGAATACTTTCAAGAAACAGGACAGGCAGGACAGGATGGATGTTTTTCGCTCGCTCCAGGGGGCGGGAAGATGAGATACCCTGAGAACGAGGTTGTGGCACACCAGGGCATATTGCCATGGTTCTTCCAAATGCTTACTTTTGAATATGAACTCTGTAATTATCTCAACCCAATAAAGAACAACAAACAATGGTGCTTTGTTCTGAGCATGATAAAGGTATAGCTTGTGGTTCAATTTTATCCTTGGCTCAATATTGTGGGTCGTAACATATGAAAATGAGTGTAAAACAAAGAAAAAGACAAATTGAAACAAGGATAAAATTGAACAGCAACAAATACATAGTACATCAACTTAAACTAAACTTAACATGTTTTTATTCTATTTACTTCTTCTGGTGGTATTTACTTCAAGACTACCTTGCCATATAGTAATGCAAATTAAACTTCATTTTCCTAACTGTTACAAAATGGTGTAGCCCCCAGTGCTGATGATATAACCCGTCGTGAAACCCAGCATTTTCGCAGAACCGAGGGAGTTTTCATAACTGATTCGGTAATTGTGAAGAAGAGCTCCCTAAAACACCAGTCGGTCAACTGTCGGCCGACAGTTGACTGACAGGTTACCGACAGCTAACCAACAGGTTACCGGCAGGTTAAGAAAAAAGAAAAATGGTGATGTATGACTCGACAGACTTCACCTACTTACCGTTCGACGGCAAAGTTGAAAGTCAGATGTCTTGTGTATTAGCCAATCAACTTATTGTAATTGTTTACTTGATCCAAACAACAGTAATCAAATTGGGCCAATCAGATGTGTTGTTTATTAGCCAATAAGCTTATTGTTATTGTGTACTTGATCCAATGATAGCATATGAAAAGCCTTTAGTTAAAAAAGTTATTATCATTACGATGTAATAGTTCGCAAACAACACGTCTCAGAGAATCTTAAAGTGCACAGTGTGTGGCGGCGACCATTCTATTTTTCACTGTGAGGATAGGTGTGGCCACGGCGACAATAGGCAATGTTCGTGTAATGAACGCCCGCCTCAGAAAAGAAAAAAGATATCAAAGTCAACAGCCTCCAGTCAACACCCTGCAGATACGTCACACGACGATCTAAAGAAAAAGTACAAGTTACTGCAAAAGGACTACAAAAGAGTGGGTCAGGCCTTCCAGAACCAGCAGGAACAGAGACAGGAGCTGACGGCGTTGCTAGAGGAATGCGAGAAAGAGGCTGAAGAGCTAGCCAACCTTGTGTGGAACAAGGATGAGGTCGTTAAAAACCTCGAGAGGCGCCTCTTAAACGCAAAGAAGGTCATCGCAGAACTCCAAGCGGAGGTGCAACACAGAAACCAACCTGCGCCACAAGAAGACCCACCTGCATCACAACAGCAACACCAGCAGATGGCAGACATTCACACCAGCACCCAGAGCCTGGCCAACATACACAAACAATATGACCAGGTTCTCCAGACGATGAAAGAGAACAGATGCAGCATGGCCTGTGTCTTCCGTCTTGCAGGCTGTCCTCGGAGCACACTACGAGACTTCATGGCGATAGCAGAACTGAAAAAGGTAGACTCAATGGAACTGGACCTCGTCCTCCATGACCAAGAAGTTAAATCGGTGCGAGATCTGGAGGTTGTCTGTTGCAAAAGACTTCAGTGCCACATCCTGGTCATGATCAACATGAGGAGAGAGGGGCAGCTGTTGCCAATGAAGTTCGAGGCACGATTCTACGAGTGAAGTATCTTGTATATTTCACCACTCACAAAACAGCTCCTTTAGGAGCCACCAAATCTATGAAAGGCTATTCTTGTCAATGTATTACACGTGTTGGATGTTGTATCAAGCGAAAACCGAAAGAAAACATTAAGGTTTGTGTTAACATTTTACCGAAAAGCTACCAACAGGTTACCGACACATTACCGACAGTCGACCAACAGTCAGCCGACAGGGTTTTTTGGGAGCTCTTCTTCACAATTACCACTGATTCAATCCTTTCTCTAAAATCTTCTACCTTGGACTAGCTTGTATTAATTTCAATAGTACTGAAACCATCAACCATCATACTCATGTTCAGTAAGAACACCCCTCAATACGGCTCAGAGTTTCAGAGTTTCCACTATAACTTTGTTCTTTTTTAATTATAGGAAGCCCTTCGTAGCTTCCATGGAATGATCACTAAAAGACAGTTCTAAGAGTTAGCAAATCACTTAACCAACAATGTAATTTAAAATGTGTGGTAAAATATTGCTGTATTTAAATACTCTTGCATTTCTGGGTATCTTGCAACTCAGTCTCATCATAAAAAAAAAGTATGACTGAAAATGCATTTCAAAGTCAGTTGTTGTATTTGCGAACGGCAACACGTACATCTGCTTTTAGAACCCAGATCACTTGCTTCATTTGCATGTACACTGCGTAACATCATGTATTGTTTACTTCTGTGCCACCTAATGCTTGGCCAGGAACCTTCTGTCCATTGCAGTAAGTATTTATAAAAGTTAAAGGTTCACCTGATATTAAATATTTTACCTTGGCACAAGTTTCAATTAAGAAAACACAATAAATCTTGGAACACAATCATTTCATGCAATCTCATCATGGGGACTGAAGTGTTTTATTGCTTGGCTGAGCTTTCCAGAGTTACGGGATCCAATCTCAACCCCAAAAAGGCACTGGTATGTGCTAATGAAAGCTTTATGTGAAATCAAGCCAAATGCTTTTGCAGAGTGAAATATTTGGTTGATTCCCCGATCAAGTATGCTCTATTCCGCAAGCAGGTCTCAAGCCCACCAAAAAGGCTGTTCATTCAACACCAGACAATCAGGCAAATTGTATCTTGTATCGTCGTTTGGTCTCTGTGCCATATTACTTAGGAATAATATTTTTAGATCTCACAAATTCATTTGCTTGAAATTCTCTCGTCTAAGTAATATGGCACAGAGACCAAACGACGATACAAGATACAATTTGATGCGATAAATGAAGAAAATGAAAACTGTGAAATACCAAACAGTTTGGGCAGAAAATGCCCTTTGAAAGAAATGTCAAAATATCAGTGTGGAATAGCAGAGCTTGATTAAGAGATTCCAGAACTTGAAGGGAATAAAAATTATTTAAATTCATTTGTGCCTTGGTACCCCTCCATTACCAGCCTCATCTTCCTCTTCTTCTTTAAATAATGAGTGCTATAAAGACACAAGAAACATCAGCGGTTCCAGCAGCCCATGCAGCACAAGCAGCCCCTGCAGCCCTTGCAGCACCAGCAGCTTCTTACAACCCACTTATCAACCGCTCTTAAAGAGTATGTGTGTGCCTAATTGGGTCTTGCTCTACTTTAAATTGCAAGCAAAATTACCAGATGCTGCAAGGCAAACTCTTCTTAAACTCACTCAGCTTGGAAGATGTGGGATAAAATACCTTTTATGACCTGCTTAACTTTATAACCGCTGGCTGACTTGCCATCTATGACTTCTGATGACTCGTAAAAGAGCTCACAGCAGCCAGTTTTCTTGTTAAAGTCAAGTGATCGACCCAAGAGAGAGTGTAAAGATTTGAAGAAACACCAAGCTAAAAGGAAAAGTCTAAGTAAGTGCTATTTCAGGAGGAAATGGAAATGCAAGTACTTCCAAATGTCTAAGGATCCTACTGCAGATTGCCTGAGTTACCAATTATGGTGAATGATTTTCATTCCCATTCAGTTCTTTGCATTTCCAACTTGGGCGATCAATTTCGATCCAGTTCCTCTGACCAATAACCTGCCAACCATAGGCCACAAGGCTGTTGCATCCCTTAGCAATGATCCCATGGAGGTGTTCGACCCAATGCCTTCAACCCCACCAGTGCCTACAACTCCGCAAACACCAACACTCCAGTCATCAAGCTCCGAGGACCACAAAGTCAGTGAAGACGTCATCCAATCATTGGTAATTCCAAGCAAATCCAAAGGGGTGGGAGACGTCTTGTAAAAGGGAAAAAGAGAGGCACCGGTGCACTCTTAAACTTCTGCCTTCTCCTTTATCTTGGAAGAGCTGACCAACAACACACACCAACGGCACCCACAACAAACAGAGGCTAAATGTGACAAAACTTTAAGCATTGAAGGTGCTAGTGTTTAGCCATCTTCCCATTGAGTCGGCCACGGGAAAGGAAAAAGTGTGGAAGTCCGTTAAAACCAAGGCAAAGGTTGTCTAGGCAAACATGTAAATAAGCTTGCTCATTCATCAGAGCATGAAAAAGGGATATAAGATCCTAAAGATTTGAAATTGCAGACCCAAATACCAACAACTGAGTTGTCTTTGGTTGAAATACCAGAGGATTGGAGGCACTAATGGTCAGCTTTCTAACTGGCTGAGTTTGATATATTTTAGTGAGAAAATTGTGTCTATTTAATAGAGCCTTAATTCCCTCACAAACAAGCAGATGTATAAACTATTTCTATATTTTGACTTAGGAAGAATCAATGTAATCAATTATACTCAAGAAGGATTCACAGCTATGCAAACATCTGTGCAGCATGAAGCTGAAAAGTGTAAAATTTAGAGTTCTTGCAAGTTAAAATCCGAACTTTCAGTAGGATGACTTTCCTTCGTGGCTTTCTCCAGTTAAATGGGATATAGTTTTCCAAAGTTTAACCTCATTTCCTTCAGGCCCTCATATAGACGAAGTATGAGTGAAATCAATTTTTGACAGTTGCCACATTTTTCGGATTTTCAGCGATGTTTACAGACATTCACACTTAATCTCTTCCATACCCTCTTGGGTAGTATATGCCTGAGGGTAACTTTTAATCTCTCCTATAACCCCTTAGGTAGTGTATACCTGAGGGTTACTTTTCATCTCTTCCATACCCTCTTGCCTGAGGTAGGTATAGCTATACCTTATAGTTATAGAGTACAGATTATTATATACAAAGAAGGTAGTAGCTTGAACATAAATGTTCCAATTATTTTCCACATATGAACTACACAATTCTCAAATTAAGATTTTTTTATTTACTTTTTTTTTAATAATACCTTTAAAATTTATGCTTTCTTTGGTTTTCTCTGAGGTTCCTCTACAAATACGATGAATTCCAGTTCAATTTAGCATTGTAGACAAAAAGGTCGCACCTCAGATATTTCATTTGTTAGATTTAGTACGAGAACAAGACATTTATGCTTTGGATTTTTAATTCAGTAATATGCAGTTCATTCCTCAACTGAACTGACTTCTAAACATAAAAAGTAACTGGAATCAGAAAAACGTTCTGTTTAACTCCAGAGGTTTTCAACATGAAGACTTTCAAATAGACTGATGCACACTCTTCCTAGGAGACTTGCATTATATGGGTTTTGCCACCAAACTGCATTTACCTCGTGGGTAGCCTAACCTTCCCTGTACCCAACTATTAGACTTCTTATGCATGTTGTCCCAGCTAGTGGTGTTGATCCGTGGGCTATTCTTTTGGCTACAAGGAGAGCTTGTCTAGCATCAATGTCCCCTTGTTTTTCGTGCACTGCAACTGGTAAGTGTCCATTCCATGATACTCTCTCTTTCAAAGTGACAATGTTTTGTTTGGCCTAAGCATATTTAATTTTGCCTAGGTCAAAAAAAATGGTATACCACCTTCCTTGTGGAGGAGCATAAAACAGGCGCTTGCCAGTGGTACTAGCTCCTAAATGAATGGGGTCGTGTATTTTTGAGACCTTTGAGGAACTGTTGAAAATACTTTGTAAGAACCATGCTGTATTCTAAAGTCTGCCAGTTTCCCATTAAAGGACATGGACCTGATATTTCAGTACACCAACTGACAGTTTTAATCTCTAAGCTTTGAGACTTAGCAAGTGTAGTGTTCCCCTGAACAATAGAATGTACAATGCAGTGCAAATAAGCAATGCGCTTTATCCATATTATGCATAATTTTGCTAAATACTCATTTAATTCATGTTAGTGGGTAGAGCGTTTAGATAATAGGCAACCGCAATAGACCACACTGTGCAAAAAGAAGTGGAAGCTAGGTCACAGCATCACTGGTAAATATATTGTGAATTCCATTCAAGCATTCCACAACTCCAATAAACCATATTTTGTATTCGCTTCTAACAGTGGGGGATCTTATACCTTGAGCTGCTATTAACGGTACTTCTTTGTCATCTTGGAAAAACACCGATCTTCCAAGGATAGGTCTGTTTACATAGCATTTCTTAGAGTGTTTCACAAGTGCTTGAAACGTTTTTGACTTTTTGGAGCATTTGTCATGATGTAAGTGCATATTAGCCATAGCTATTGAATAGTGTATCAGACAGCACTAAGATCCTGATGATAGAAAGCTCTTAGTTCCTGTGATATAGTTTTAGTTAAGGTACATTTTTCTACATAAACTATTGAGAAGCACTCCTCAAGGCATGATATATTTCATGTGTGACAAAATTGAGTTTATGTCATACATAAAATGTCACGCCTTGCATTTTATCCAGCCCATTTCCTGGACGCATGGCTGCGTTGTTTGTGAACACATAAGGTTTTGCAAAATGTGAGATAGTGTTTAGGTATAGACGCAGGTATTACCTGGTACTATATATTGGTCTAAGTTCATTTGAGATTATTCTTGTCTTATTACAACCATGGACTCAAACAAGAAGCCAAACTCAAAAGAGAGAACATTCAAAACAGTGTCAAGAATATTACAAGAATTCAAGAAAACAGCAAAAAAAAAAAAAAGAGAAAGAAGAGAGGCAATGTATCAGAAGGAGAGTTAA